ACTTAAGGCCATTTTTTTACACTTATTTCCACAGCTCCCCTATTTGTACCCGAAAAGTTAAAGTAGTGGCGTAAGCAAGACCGCTGAATTTTTTCAGGTGCAGTGGATTATGATTTTTTTATAATGGCACACAAGGAAAAGTCTCTACATTCTTCTATAAAAAAAAGGAGTTTAATAATATACAATGGGTCTATTTGGTACAGCTTATAAGTTGCTTATAGCCAAAATAAGCTAAAATCAACAATAAAAACGCAAACAGGGCTTATATCTTATGAGCAGCCGCATTTGTACTAAAAATGGCTAGGGTCAAACCATCTTATTTTGACCGCCGCATTTACTCTATTTGTGTAGCTTATCTGGGAAGCGCTTTCCAGATAAACTGTACCAAACAGGACCAATATCTTGTGAGCAGCCGCTATACCAAATGGCTAGCTGTCCCGCGTCGCACCTTGCGACCCAGGTTAAGTCCCACAGGACACATTTCGCTGGGCGGAGACGAAAAAAATCTCCTCATCTGCCCCCACGCTAAAGCACAGTCTAATTAAGGCCAATCCAGTCTCATGGGATTGGGGCAGAGGTTCAAGAGTTTTCTCAACCTGCGTGCAAGAGTCTTTTTCTTAAGCACAATGGCCATCCCCTCATCTGTCCCACGCCAAAACACAGATCTAAGACCAGTCAACTGGGTGCCACTGTGTATGGGTGGGGTAGATGTTCAAGGGTTTTCTCAACCTATGTGTGAATGTCTTTTTCGTAAGCACAATAGTCAGAGGCTGTCATACCCCACGGGTCAAGTTATTTTTTAATATATAATATCTTACTTTTACTAATTAGAGACTTCGATCAGAGTCTAAGTTAGTTCTCATCAAATAAAATCTAAAAATTCTCATAATAACTAGAAATATAGGTTAGTTCTCATCAAATAAAATCTAAAAATTCTCATAATAACTAGAAACACTTCGGTCTTAAATTTGATACACTTTAATCATCTTCTCCAATAATAGTCATTCGATCAATTCAATTTTCTAAACATTACTCACATGTTCCATTATGAAAAATACAAAAAGTAAACCCTGATTTTACATCTAAATTATCCACCTCTGTCATTATAAAAACATAATTTAAATAACTCCTGAATTTATATATAAATTATCAACCTTCTCTATTATAAAAGAGATTCTAAAATAATAACACCATAAAAATTTATATCTAAGTTACACAACTTTGCTATTATCAAAGATAATTAGAAATAACTCGCTAAATTTGTATCTAAATTATCCACTTTATCATGATATAAGATATATAAAATACAACCCTAATTCTTTTATAAATTGCCCACCACTATTGTTACGAAAGGTAATGCAAATTAAACCCTAAGTTCGCTCAAATTATCCATGTATGACATTATAAAAGATAATGTAAAATAACACATTGTAATTTATATGTGAATTATCCAATTCAACCACAAAATAAACAATAAAATATCTATCAAAACAACATGTAAATACTAATACAAGCTATTACAAAAATAATTCAGCATCCATAAAGTATGCATATATATTTCTAAATTTCAATCGTTTCCCACCGTCAAGCTAAAAATAAGCACAATGCTATGCTCCACCATGTGGATCAAGTAAATATGTAGACATTAGGACAAATACTTATTTTAATAGCTTATCAAGCATGAAAAAATGTTCCTGGCGGTGGATTTAGCATCCAACTAATAATTAACGTATCGCGCGAAGCAGAACATGGGACATGGGTTTATACTGGTTCAGGCATAGGATGTCCTTTGTCCTGTTAAATGGGAGCTTCGTTTTGTGCAGTCCGTGCTGGGAGCAGGGGTGATGATGATGCTGGACAATGGATCTCCCAATCGAGCGCACCCTAGCTCTCCTTATATGGTCTGGAGGTACGGTTTACAAAGGAATCCCCAATCTATTAAGGTTGGTTTCCTAGTTTTTTACAAGAGATCATGTCGGATCTACACAAATTAGTGAAATTGTATACTCCAACATCCCCTAGGACCATCTATACATTTTCCGTCAAGTAGATGAAATATCCCCACCTAGTTAGGCCTCAGTCATAATAGCCTGTCACTGACTGCTGAGTAGATTTCCCTCGTGCGGAGGATAATCGTGACCATATTGAGCCCCTAAGGTCTTCGCGAGGAGCCCTTCATCTTCCTGATTTGTGGATTGTACCTATTACTTCGTGTTCTGCGTGACATCATCTTCGTCCTCTAGGTCATGGCGTATTGAAATTATATATAGATCAGATCTATCATGCATGGCGTACATACTTCTCATTTGCATATGGAGGGCAAGGGTGGTGGTGAAGTGGCGGTGTTGTTGATGATGTTAGTGAAGATGGGTCGAAGCAGCTGGCGACAGAGACAATGGTAAACGACACCACCTGACTTGGACGAAAGACGAGCCGCCATGGAGGTCGCGAGCAATCACGCGAAGATGTTTCCCTAAAAACCTTTTCACCCTCTCCCCTTGCAGGATCACAAGGGTGAGCATTTCCAGAGACTTTCTAGAGACCTACTCTCCCGACTGTTGGTGCACGCTGGCGCTTGGGTGATGGAGAGGCCATGACGGTAGCGTAGCAGCAGATGGAGGCAAATCCCAGCTTGAATAGATGTCGTTACGGCGGTGGCCAATAGGTCGTATACAATGAGAAGACCTGCATGATCTCAGATCACATCACGATCAGGATCTCAATGACTAGGTTTCCAATTTGTAGACTTAAATGCCAAACAACCAGAAAATAAAACTGCAATAAGAGGCCATGGTCTCAGAAGGTGATGGGCCGAAATTTGGCGGACCATTGGCACAGGTGCCCGCGGTCACGATCTGCAAGGTGAGTGAGCTCACACGTGGGAGTTCCCTTCTCTCTTCCCCCTCTAGACATAGAGAGCTTCGATATTTAAGAATGTCATCCTCCGCTTGAATGAATAAGGTGAGACTAAAGTTCCACCACACCTAGATATGCACACACATGAATAGGCCTTTGATGTTTGTTTGGCCCATTTTTTCAACATAATATATACTTTTCTCGCGAATAGGGTATACCCGTATTTCAGTAAGACTAAGAGAATTACACGACACAGCTACGAGGGAACCCTCATAGCACAGATTACAAACCATGAAAATAGTGGTGAGTGACCTAGAAAGAAACATAAGAACAATAAAGAGAATTAAAGAAAGAGAGCGACTGCCCACAACCCCTATATCCGTCAGCGATTCCACCGACGGCCAAGCATTCGCCGGAGAAGAAGCAACGCCCACTGCGGTAGAGCATCCACAGGGGGACTGGCCATGACACTCTTGGCAGAAAGCTTCTGCAGGAGAGGAGACCAACGACAATGGTGGCAAAGTATCCGCCAGAAAAAAGCGACAACAGCAATGTCAAGATTTGCAGGACAGGACATTGCGAGAAGAACACAGGCACAAATATGCACAGCGAGGAACTCAACCAGAAGCCAACGGAGACCACATGGAGGGCAAGCAGGCTCCAGCGAACGAGAGTGGCACAAGGGAGCAAGCGACGAGCTGTAGGTGATTCTTCAGCGATGCATTTAGCAAAGGTGGGTGACGCCCAAAGGTAGCACCATGGACCTCACTGCCACTGGCCTCAGGGCCCTAAGGTGGGGCTTACGCTCAGAATCCGGCGCCGTCAACACCGAAGCTTGGGTTTCTTCAATGACACCTCCAAGGAGGTTTGTGGCGCCCGAGGTGTCACCATTGTCCGCCCAGCCAAAACTAGACTGAGCTTTCTCTAGAAACTCCATGCATCCAAAGGCATCCTCCAACGCGGACGGAACTGAGCTGGAGATGCTTCGCCACCATGGAACTGGGGCACACGACCGGAGCCGGAACTGACGCTAACATTCACGGAGTCTGCCCCGCCGCCAGGAACACAAATGCAGGGCACACGAGCCCCGGCGAGCCTGGCCCCCTAGGCCAGCTAGCTGCCCGCGACCAGGCCACCACAAGCCGTGAGTCGCAGGGTTGCCAAGTCACGCCCATTCGCATCGGGGCCGCCTGGCTGCTCAGCCGCCGCGAGCACGGGCTCCTGCTGCTGCTTGGCCGCCCGGCCGGCTGGCCCCAACTGCAACACTGTGTGCGAGCAAGCCCTGCCGGGCCACGGTGCCCGACGTAGTGCCACCGCCGTAACCGAAGCTAGATCCAGCACAGGCGGGGGCGGAACTCGCCGCCGGCCAAAAGGGGGAGCTGGGGGAGCTGGGCGCCAATGACCCTGACCCGAGCATACCCACACAGGCACCCCGACCCTGCGACCTCCTGGACCACGGGCGACGATGCCTTGAGTCATTGAAGCACCACGGAGAAGCTGATGGCTGGCTGGCCAGCGCGTAGCAGCCCCACGGCCTGGCACACGATGACCGGATCTGGCCGGAGGCACCGGATCTTGAGGGTAGTCGGCAGATCCGGCGACGGCGAATATGGATCTAGCCGCCGGCCAGCGAACGACGTTCCAGGTGGAGCTTGGGGATGGTGAGAGAGGAGGAGGGAAGGGGAGGAAGAGGGATGCGGAAGGCCGCCTTTTTCGGCGCCACCATGGCCGCCGCCACCGCTCGCCGTGGAGCGACGGCGGCAGCCAAGGAGCAGCCAGAGGTGGGGATCCCCTGGCGGCGGAGGCGCGTCGCCCGAAGCCGCCTCACGAGAGACGACTCGAGGCGTTTTCATGCAATTGGGTGCTAAACAACTCCTCAACATAATATATACATAAACTTACAACATACACTTAGTCTGTGATGCATTTAATTTGTTTAGTTTGATCTTTTATTTCTATTGCCGAGCGTTTTAGCCAAGCACTGACTACGCAGCTGCTATGGCCGCCCCAGGATTTTCCACGACTTGGCCGACCAGCTACTCCCCAATTTCTTCAAGCTAGTGACGCACATTATCCGCCACAACAGTGACGTTCTGCGTCATCGAATGTGGCATGTGACCGAATCGTTCAGAGACAAAGATCCCATGGCCACAGCTGCAAGAGTTGCCTCCGTTGCTTTCGTTGGACTGGCGGTGCTACCGTTCCTGGTCATGTGCTACGTCCCCGCCTTCCTCTACGTGTACGGCGGGCCCGTGGCCTGCATCGCGCTCGCCATCTGGCGCACGGTGCAGCGCGACTATGGCGGCGGCGGGGACGACAAGGCGAACCTGGCGCCAGCGCTGGACATGTTCTACTCCCTGGTCCTCCTCCAAGGCGGGCTCCTCCTGGTCTGGCTCTACCATGAGTCCTGGTGGGTAGATCACCTCATCACGCTCCGTCAGCACTACAAGCTGCCGGAGACGGGGTGGTGCCGCCTGGCGCTCGTGGAGTTCCTCTGCGACACCAGGGCGAGATGCTGGCGGCACCTCTCGTCGATCCGTGGCCGGAAGCTCGTCGACTACGCCGTCAGCTTGCTGGACTCCGGGTCGTGGGACGACAACCTGTCGGGGGCGAGGCTGCTGGACGAGTTCATCAGGCAGGGGTACGACGTGAGGTCGCTGCTCCTTCCTTCCAGGCCCAAGATCCAGAAGCTGATCGACTCGCTGGGATGGAGAGACGGCCGGCGACCGGAGGTCGCGGAGATGAGGAAGCTCGCGGCACGCATCGTGGCGCACCTCGCCGGCGACCTCCACCTGGCCCAGTTCCCCGGTGCCATCCGGTGCATATCCTACCTTCTTGAGGACGAGGCCACGCTGGCGTACAGCGACCAACAAGGTCTCACCCATCGTCCACAAAGGAGGCTTGCATCAGAGAAACAGGCCATGATCCTTCGACTCGAAAGGAGAGAACAAGAACGGGAAGCGCACCACCAGAAAAAACTCATCAAGAGACAACAACGAGATGGTGTTCGCCTGCAGCAGCAGCAGCAGCGAGGAGGCGGCGGTGGTGCCTGCAACGAGCTGATCCTGCAAGGCCTGGCGATCCTGGAGAGGCTCGCGTCTGACCGCCACAACTGCGGCGAGATATGCAGCAGTCCTGGCCTCCTCCCCAGGATCACGGCGCCGCTCTTCTCCGGCACTGACTGGGTCCATGATATCCACGGCACTGACTGGGTCCACGTTGTCAACGCCACCTTCAAGGTTCTGTACCATCTCATCCATGCGCCCGGGGAGACGAGCACAAGGCTGCGCGCTGAGATCTCCGAAAAGAGCAAGCACTGAGCAACCTCGAGGCCATTATTGATCAGAGCACTGAAGCTGGCAAGGAGGCCCACCAGGAGCTGAAGATGCGAGCAATGCACATCTTCCTTACCGCTGATGGGGACCTCAGAGCCACCGCTGGGAGAACACTAGTGTTAACCAAATATGGAGATGAGAATAGCTTGGATCTAGTTCGAATTCTTGATGACGACAACATCGAATACAGGATGATAGCAGCGGAGATCTTGGAGAATATGTGTGTACACTGTGACAAACAACGTGTGAAGGAAATATTGCTGCCAAAGGTGAGTGCCCAAGTCTGTTTAGCAAATTCAAACATCTCTGGCCATGATATTGCTCATTATTTTATTTTATTTTTATTTTTATTTTTTGCTTGCCCTATACCACTAACCCACCCACTCATCACGTAGGTTATGTTTCTATGCTAGTTTATTCCTAATGCAACATTCACAATAAATGTTGAATTGTTTCATTTGTGGCCACAGAAAACAACATTTGAAGCTTCCATCATTCTAACTTAATAGTATCTTGTGGGTGGTTATTTAAATTTTCCTCCAATTACTCTGCAGGTTCTCTCAAACATAATGTCGTCTCAAAGAGAGAACACACAAAGTCAAAATTCTATACTGAGGATTCCTGCACCAGGACAAGATATAGAAAACCAAAACATTTCTACCCAGCGAGTTAACACACAGGTTCAGGGGACTCCTTCATCGAGGGACCAAAATAAGTCATCTGATCAAGGAAATGAGGGGCAAACTGCTACAAAGGCATTGCAAGAAAAACTTCTGTCGCTTACTCTTGTGATGTATGCTAAACTGGAAAATGCAGATTTCAGCATTGCGCTTCAAAACAATGGCTCAGCATTTGTGGCGAAGCTCAAGAGTATGGTAGAAGAGAACTGTCAGGCCACAGTTGGCAGTCTCAATATTGTGAAGCTTTGCGGTCAGATAGCCGTTTCAATGATGCAGCGCAACCAGTATACTGAATACTTCAAAAACCAGGAATTCGTGAAGTCACTGTCTGAGGCTAGGAAAATCATGTCTAACCTTGAAAGTTGTGTACTGTTTGCTGGGAGGGATCATGGACTGAGGAACATGGCTAGGCCTCTCCTCTTGGATCTTGAGAAAGAAGCAGAAAAGGTAGTTGGTTAGAAACCTCATTGTGATTGCTATCTTAGTCCTACTCCATTTCCCAGCACAAATTAAATAACTACTTATTATTCTCTTGTTTTTGGACGATGCTCCTTTTGTCTTGTTTTATTTCTCACTTTAGCTCAAAAGCAATAATGCACTCTTGCCAAACATATCGTACCTGTGCTGAATATGACTACTGTTTGTTGGTATTTCTACAATGCCACAGTTTTCATGCATTTTTCTTTATCTCTATTGATGTGATGTGATCACTGTCAGCTCGCGTGTTTGCTGTGATATGAAGCACAGGCTGTTTACTGTGTCGGTAACGCTCTTTACCGAGCGTCCGACCAGACGGGGTGGACCCACCTGCCCATGTGCCTCATGCCTTGCGCGCCCGCGGTCTCTTGCCTCGCGCTACGCACAGCCGAGGTCCGACCTCCGCGCCGTGCCATCAAGCTCTGTACCTGCGTCAACCTCCGCGTCAACGAGCATCCATTGGGGCAGCATGTAGATGAGCACATGTTACAACGTATGTTTCATGCGTTTCAGATGTATGTTGCATATGTTTAATCTGGATGTTGCAAATGTAGATCTGGTGTTGCATATGTTGCAATGACTATACACATATGTTGCAAGTGTATGCTTCAAACGTATGTTGCAAGTGTTTTATCTGGATGTATCATATATTGCACTGGTTGTACATATATATTGCAAGTGCATGTTTCAAATGTTTTAGCCATTTCAAGCATATGTTGCAAGTGTTTTATCTGAATGTTGCATATGTTGCAGTGCCTATACACATGTTGCAAAAGTAAGTCGTAAATGTTTCATCTGTTTCGACGTATGTTGCAGCAAATGCTTTTATATTGCAAGTGCTTCATGAGCAGGCCCGGCAAGGGGGCGCAGGCGAAGGTGGTCCCCTTGGTGCAGCGGTTGCCGCGTGCGTGCGGGAACCGAAGCAAATGCGACAGCATGGCGCAGAGCACAAAGTTGTATCCATGGGCGTGGCAGTAGATGTGGAGCACGAAGCTACATCCATGGGTGGGCAACAAGCACGAAGCTACATCCATGAGTAGGCAGCAGGCACGGAGCACGAGGCAAAATGGAGCACGAAGCCACATCCATAGGCGCCTCGATGGTATCAATATTGAAAATGGATAGGCAGCGAGCACGGACGTCGAGACGTAAGGCGCTAGGCTCTCCGTTACTTATCATGTTCGCTTATTGGTTTCAGCCAGGATTTATCAGTCAGCCAACAGTATTTTCCTCTCACAACAAATCAGCACCAACCGACCTTATCAGCCCAGAAACGAACCGACAAACACGCCGAGTACTGTCTTGCCGATGGAACCACCGGCGGAACTACGTGGGGCCATAGTGGGCTGTGCCACCACCAAACCACCCCCCTGCCTTTGTGTTTTTTATACGAAGCCTGTATACTTTTTTTTTAAACGGAGCCTGTATACTATTGAGTCCATATCTCGAAACCGACGGCCACAAGCTCAAGCTGTGTCTTGCCGTTGGCTCTCTCAATCTCGCTCCATCCTTGGCCTCCGCGACTCGCGTTGACCGAAGCCACCGACCAGCAGCTAGGCCAACAAGGTCAGGCCCGCTCCAAGCCCCCACACAGCGCTCCTACTGCTCAGATCTTGCTTTGCTTCTGCGTACAGCGTATAGATACTGCTTTTACATTGGGAAAATTGGTTGTCTAGCATCGAAGTATCACGATCTCCGTAAAATACCACCGAAATATTGTGTCTCTGTAGAATACTATCGATAAGTTGGACCATGAACTGAAAGTACCATTCCGTTTTTGATGTTCAGAAACGTCAATTTGACACCAGGACCAAACATGACAAGACTTATTTGCCCTTGCCTTAATCCTATCTAGCATAGGAGAGAGGGGCGCAGGAGAGCAACTTCCGCGGCCCAGGCTCGCTTGCACCCGCCTCCTACACCACCGCGTGCGCCTCTGCACGCCACCTCCGGGCGCCGCCTCCGCTGGCCTCCGCGCGGGCGGAGTGCTCCGGGCACCCCGGCTGGCCGCCTCGCGTCGCAAGCCGCGCCGCGGGCCACAGGCTGTCCTCAGGTGCTGCATGCGCCAGGCCGCCTCCTGCATTGGGTGCCGGCACTACCGGATACAGGAGCTTTGCCGAGTGCCAGGGGCACTCGGCAAAGCCCCCAAAACACTTGGCAAACCGTTTGCCGAGTGTTACAGTCGGCAAACGACACTCGGCAACTGGTTTATCGGCAAACGCTGTTTTGCCGAGTGTTTTTCGTCGGGCACTCGGCGAAGACTTTGCCGAGTGTCGAAAAACACTCGGCAAACATTTTTTGAAAAAAATAAAAAAAAGCATCAGCCACCAGAGGAAGAAAGGGCGCCGCCGGATCCGGCCACCCCGCTCGCACCGACGCTGGCCCGCCACCGCCGCCACCGGATCCAGCCTCCCCGCGCCGCGCCACCACTGGAGGGAGAGAGAAGAGAGGGTGCCGCCGGAGGAAGAAAGGGAGCCGCCGGATCCGGCCTCCCCGTGCCACGCCGCCATCGGAGGGAGAGAGAAGAGAGGGCGTTGCAGGAGAGAGAAAGGGCACCACCGGATCTGCCCTCCCCGTGCCACGCCACCGTCGGATCCGGCCTCCCCGCGCTGCGCTGCCACCGGGTCCGGCCTCCCTGCGCCACGCCGCCACCGAAGGGAGGAGAGAGGGCGCTGCCAGAGGGAGAGAGACGCCACGCCATGGATCCGTGCCGCGCCCACAACGCCGGGCCACCCCTCCACCACCGCCTGGGGTGCGCCGCCGCGGCGTACGAGAGAAGCCACGGCGGCGTTCGACCAATAGCTGGCTCGCCCTGGCCGAGATGCTGGCGGCCATGCCTGACATTCTGAGCAGGCAATGGAGTTCCTCTCTCTTGGACGTGGAGCCGCTGCTCATCGGATCTCCTGCAGATACTATCGCCCGCTTGCACTGTATGTTTATGCACGTACATGCGTACATCATACTCCAGTCTTTTTCTGCTTGCTTGCTTGGGGATTCCCATCAACCGTTAGCTCAACTGTGGCCCTGGTTTCATCAGAGAGGAAGCAGCATATGAGAAGCACACTACGTTTGAGGGTAATTTTGTCCAAGAACAGATTTGTCACCCTATTTTAACAGAATGATACTTTCAGTTCACAGTTAAATCTTCCGATGGTATTTTACGGGAACGCAATCTTTTAGTGGTATTCTATGGAGATCATAATCTTTCGATGCTACCTAACCAATTTTCCCTTTTACATTCTTATTCTGTTGTCAATTAAGATCTTCTGTTGCTTTCTTTTAAAGAGAATTTAGGTGCTTTGCTATTTGATTTGCCCTATTCACAAGAACTATGACTAATTTCTCCACCACCCATGTATATTTTGGTTTAATTGGTCAATTGGCCCCTCCTACAATTGGATTCAGGCTCCACCACTGGATGAAACATTGAAACATGAGTCAGTAACAGTGTAACACTGATGGGCAAACAAAGTGATAATATTTTTGCTATACTCCAAAAATATTGTGGAAATGCAAACAAAGTATGTCCAATTATCTGTTTAAGTGTATGATTACAAACAAAGTGATAATATTTTTGGGTCGACCTCACAGTACCCATTGGGCCAGTGAGGCTGAAGGATTTTTCATATTTGGGTCAACCCATGGCCTTGCAAATTGGCCTCGAGGCCACAGGGCCAGGTCTAGGCTGACCCATTCCCATCCTGAAATAACATCTATATTGAAAGTTGAAATTTATATAATTCAATTGTTGCTTTTGCTAACTTGTGAGGGTGGCCAGCCTGGATGATGATCAAACGTGTACTGCTTTCTAACCATCGATTAGGCAGAAATTTCATCGTCAGATATTCGTATGGGCCTAAGAAGATAGTGATCTAAAATGTCAATCATGAAACTTTCTTTGAAAATCGCATACTTACAACAAAAAAGAATTTTTGTGAGAGGTCGAAATCATACAAGTAGAGCGCTAGGTGGTCCTATTCAGTCGGGCAGTACAGAGCATAGTTTCAATTATTTTAAATATAGCCCCTTCAGATAAAATTTATTTTAATACGAAGAAGAGAAAATTAGGATTCTTGTTGTTTTGCATAAAACTGCGTGAAGGCAATGTTGCATGGGACCCCTCTTGTTGCCTGTCACACCTCGAAATGTTCAATTTTGGATTGTGAATAGAAAACACTAATAAAATAAATGGTTTAATGATTTTCTAAAAAAAATCAAGATTTTATTTAGTTTGTTGTCAATTTAAGAGATGTAAAAATGTGGTTTATAAAATTTTTACAAGTAAATGAAAATGAGTTGATGCATTCAAGTTGGCTCCCCCGGCCTGCTCCGAATTGAAAAGGCTTTGCTTCGAATTTGTTTTCAAGGCTTTGAAATAAAAAAATAGTTTTATTTGGAAAATCTCCCTCCTCAGTTTCTGGCCCGAAGCAGCCCTTCTGTTCCCTCCCCCGGCCTGCTCCCTTCCTCCAAGGCCTGTTTTCTCCTGCAAGGCCCATACCGGCCCAGCTCCACCACTCCCTATCAGTCGCAAGGCAAAAGCCCAGTGCGACAGCCCAGCACACCTTCGGCCTAGCAGGAACCCGGGCCCGCGTGGAGCACCCCTCTCTTTCTCTTTTTTTTTTTTTTTTTTTTGGGGGTTTGGTTTCTCTCTAACAACACGGGCCTAAAGGCCACCAGCATCCGGCAACCACTGGAATTTTGAGTTTTACAGCTATATATCGGGCAAACAGTGGGTCTTACTATGCCGACAGAAGTTTAACTAAGGACAAAAGTGAGCTTCGACTTCCCTCGCCCGTTGTTGGAATGTTGGGTACAGTCTGATCTAGGACAGAAGAGAGAAGACAATTACACATCAATCTGCTCTAGGATTGGCACTCCAAAGTCCAAAAGCAAACTGGTGAGGTGCAGGGCAACATCATCATGAGCCTGTTTGATCCCTTCCTGCACAGCAGCCAGTCAACATCGCAGCATTGTACTGATGC